TTCTTTCTTTCTTTCTTTCTTTCTTTCTTTCTTTCTTTCTTTCTTTCCTTCTTTCTTCTTTCTTTCTTTCTTTTTTGGCTAGCAATTGGGGTTAAGTGACTTGCCCAGAGTCACACAGCTAGTGAGTGTTGTATGTCTGAGGCTGGATTTGAACTCACGTCCTCCTCACTCCAGGGCTGGTTCTCTATGCACTGCACCACCTAGCTGCCCCAAAAGAATGAAAGGCTCATCTTCTATTTTTTCTTCCTTGAGGCAACCAGGGTTAAGTGACTTGCCCAGGGTCACACGGCTACTAAGTGTCTGAGGCCAGATTTGAACTCAGGTCCTCCTGACCCCAGGGCTGGCTCCCTATCTGCTGTGCTGCCTAGCTGCCCCTGTCCCTCACTTTCTTCATCTGTTAAATGAGAGCATTCTTTCCTTTTCAGTTTCAAATAAATGATCCTGTGATCTTATGCTCATGGGCACGTCCTTTCCCTCTCTGGCCTCAGTTTCCTCTCTTGTAAAATGAGTGGGTTTGCACTGAATGGCATGTGCCTTCCCTTCCAGTGCTTGGTCTACAATCCCATGACCCTCTGAAAGCTTGGCTTTTGTCCAAAGGGGAATGAGATCTGTCACTGATGGTTCAGAGACTTCCACCCATGAGAGGTGGCTCCAACCCAAGCTGGCGGGAGGCAGCTTCAGATGAAGCCTCTCTCCCACTGATCTGTTGGGCAGACAGGGCAGTGCTAGGCAGTACAAGAGACCTTGGGTCCAGAGTCAGCAACACTGGGATCATTTCTGTTTCTGTGCGACCTGGGAAAAGCCCCTGTCCCTCTGAAGACTTCAGCTCCCCTCCTTTGAAATAGGAGGGGGTCAGACTTGGCCGTCTTGGAGGCCTCTCTGGGCTCCCGTGTATCGGAGGAGGGGCCACAAAATGTGGCTGTCCGTCAACTATGCAGCTTCAAGGGCCTCATGCCCAGGGAAGCGTGTCTTGGTTTGAGAAATCCACCCCCTGTTGGATGTTCCTCCAAGAGTCTCCATTGATTCTGGCCCTAAACAGAAAGATGCCCAGTGACCCAGGGCTCATGTTGTTTTCTTAGAAATGAGCATGAATTTGATTTAAAACAACTCTTTATTGATCAAAACAGCAAAACCATGACCACCCTATAGAAAATTGTAAAATGGTGGTTGGTTTTGTTTTTCCTCACTTGTGAGAACCAGGGAAACCCACTGGCTCTGGGGTGGTTTGGCGGCCAGAGGGGCACACCATGATCTTTCCTCAGATCAGTATTGGAAGGTAGAGTCTCTAGGTGTTGGCAAGGAATCTGGACCCACGAGGCTCGTTAATGTGGCTCCTTGGCTTCAAACTCCTAGAAATGGCACCCACCCCTGCTCTGTGGGAGGGGAATCTCTCTCAGACATGATATTGTTTTTATCCGGTCAAGCCTAGTGGCCTCTGGGATAGATGTTTGCATTGTAGTGGGGCTCTTTTCCCCACGAGCTGCAGAAACATGTTGGTATTGAGAGGAAAGAGCCCTGGCCTGGAATGAGGACCATTTAAGCCTTCACCAGCTCACTGTGTGACCTTAGTCCTCTCTGGACCTCAGCTTGCTTATCTACTAAATGTGGGGTAAGTTACTGATCTCTACGGTCAAAGGGTCATAGATAGAAAGGTGTAAGGACCTCTCAACCCCTTCATTCTACCCTTCAATGTTGCAATGAAGACCGAGCTTTTCTTTTTTTTTTTTTTATTTGGTGAGGCGATTGGGGTTAAGTGACTTGCCCAAGATCACACAGCTAGTAAGTGTTAAGTGTCTGAGGCTGGATTTGAACGCAGGTCCTCCTGATTCCAAGGCCAGAGCTCTGTACACTGAGCCACCTAGCTGCCCCACACAGAGCTCTTCTTAAGTGATTCCATGTGGCTCAGTGGGAAACAGAATCAGGAGAGATGTCAGTTCCTCAGACGTCAGTGAGGGGCCAATGGCGAGGCCTTTCACGCCTCTCAGCTGGATTTTCCTCATTTGTGAACTGGGCACCACGATCCCTGCAGTGCCCCCCGCACAGGGTGGCTATTTTGGGGCCCTGCTGAAGCCACGTGCTTGGCAAACACTATAGGACCATCTGGGGATGTTGAGGCCCAGGAGGCTGGAGTGATTTTCCTGGGGCTCTGGTCTCTTTGCAGGTCATCGATGCGATTGCCCAGGCCATCTCCCAGACTGCAGGCTGTGCCTTACTGGACGTGGATGCAGGTCCTTCCACCAACCGGACGGTGTACACCTTTGTGGGCACCCCTGAAGATGTCGTGGAGGGGGCCTTGAAGGCCGCTCGGGTAGCATTCCAGCTCATCGACATGACCAAACACAAAGGTGAAAGGAGAATGGAGAGGTGGACACCCTGGGCACTCTGGGAGTCAGCCCTGCAGCTTGGGCCCTAGGCTTGTGGTGCAGTGGTTAGAGCTAGGCCTGGAGGCAGGAAGATCTGGGTTTGAATCCCACCAGCAGCATGTGTAGGCCTCAGCCTCTCCTGGTTTTCTTTGTACTTGCCTCCCAGGGCTGTTTGGGGCTCAGATGAGACAGTATTTGTACAAGCCACTGGCCCAGGGCCCAGTGGCTTCTCCCAGGAGGGGCCCTGGCTCTGGCTTAGATCTGGGGAGCCTGACCCCCGAAAGGGGCGGGATCAAGTTTTTTGTCTTCTTCTGCCTCCTCCAATGATTTCAGGTGGTCCTCCTTAGACAAAGCCTCCATCTAGCTCATGGGAAGAGCGCTGAGGACCGGGCCTTTGCCTCTGCCGTGCCTCGGGTAGGACACGCCCTCCTCCGGGGGCCTTGGCTTTCTCCCTGGTCCAATGAGGAGCTTAGGTTGGTTCACCGTTGAGGTCCCTTCCTGCTGTAGAGCCAGGAGCCGGACAGTCCCCTCTGCATCTCGGAAATAAGGGAGGTGAAGCCCAGAGAGGACAAGGGGCTGACCCAGGTCTCCCAGCTCTAGGGCTGTGATCCTCGGGCGTGGTCTGTGAGGAGAGCCTAGCTGTGCAGTGTGGCTTACACTGGTGTGTTTCTGGATTTTGTGAGCTTGGCGCCCTCTTTGCTGCTGACCTTGATTTGTGGCAGCTGTGGAGGCTAAAGGTGTGGTGAAGGTGGGGATCGGAACACCGATGGCCACCAGCTCCCCTTTGCCAGCCTTCGCTGCCAGGCTGAGCAAATAAGGTTTGCTTAATCGGCTGCCTGGGCAGAAGGTCACTCAGCAGATAAAGAGGTTCCAAAGTCCCCGCAGGTTGTCTTTCTGATGCCCTCTGGGTCTCAAGGGAAGCTGAGTGATGGAGGGGAGCAGAATAGAATGAGACACATCAAAAAATTCCCTAAGAATTCCTCCAAAGGTGAGCTCCAAAGCTCACCATTTCCTGTGGCCTGAGGGGCAACACATCCCTGCAATACAGACCCTGAGATAGCCGGGAGAGCTCAGGGAACAGACTGTCCTGGAAGTCCACCATTATCGCAGGCGCCCTGTGGCCCACAATTGCCTGGCCGTAGCAGTGATCCACAAAGAAGAGGGGAGCCAGGCTCCCTTCCGTCCACTCTGTGTGATCCCCAAAGATGAGCGAGGAGCCAGGCTCCCTTCCGTCCACTCTGTGTGCATCCCCTCCATGCCCGTGAATGTCCACGCTGCCTCCATTCATTAGAACAAAAGTTTCTTTTTTTTTTTTTTTTAAGGCAGTTGGGGTTAAGTGACTTGCCCAGGGTCACACAGCTAGTAAGTGTCAAGTGTTTGGTCTGAGGCCAGATTTGAACTCAGGTCCTCCTGACTTCAGGGCTGGTGCTCTATCCACTGTGCCACCTAGCTGCCCCAGAACAAAAATTTCTTGAGGGCAGGGGCATTTTCTTTGCATCCCCAGTGTTGAGTATGGTGCCTGGAACAGAGCAGGGGATTAATAAACGCTTGGGGACTGATTGCTCTTGTTCCGCTGTGTAATAGTCCGTAGCCCATTGAATGAGAAAGTCCAGCTCCTTGTATTGAGACCGCCTCCATTTGAGCCCTGATAAAAATAGAATGGGGTTTGTAGAGCCCTCCCCTCACAAGAACTTTGCGAGATGAGTAGTTCAAGGATTATCACCCCATTTTACAGAGCTGGCAGGGACCCTAGAGGTCATCTTGTCCATTTGACAAATAAAGAAACTGAGGCCCAGAGAAGGAAGTCACACGGAAAACTGCTAAAGCTAAGATTCAAACCCAGATCTCCTGAGCAGGAAGGGCATGGGTCTTGGAGTCTGACAGCCTGGATCCAATCTCAGGTTTTCTTCTCTGCACCAGGAGGTGGTGAGACAGACCCCCTCCGGCTCTGCACTTCTGTGATCCTAGCTTTTTCTTCCTTTCCTTTCCGCCTGTGGCCCCCACCTTCACCTTGTCATCCTCATCCCAACTCCTCGTGTAGGTGAACATCCCCGAATGGGTGCCCTCGATGTCTGCCCCTTCATCCCAGTGAAGAATGTTACGATGGACGAGTGTGTTCTGTGTGCCCGCACCTTTGGCCAGCGACTGTCCCAGGAGCTCAGGGTGCCAGGTGAGTTGGGGCAAGAGGGGAGGTCTGCTCCCCATCCTGACTTGTTACCTAGTGGTTGGAGAGTGTTTAAAAATTAAAATGTAAAATTTGTCTTTTGTCAACCCTGGGAGTCATTTCCCCTTCATCCCCACCCCCACTCCCTCCCTGAGAACAAACAGTGACCAGGTGTGACAGAGCCGGCCTCTTTCCACCTTCTTGGCTGGCTCTCTCTTGTGGGAAGAGGACAGTCAGTTTTATCCTTAGGTCTCCCAGACCAAACGTGGCCATTACAAGGAACCCAGCGCTTTGTGTGTGGTTTTTATTTATAATCGGCTAAGAGCTGTGAAGATTGTCCTGGTCTCCTTTCTTCACCTGGCTGAGGGAAGGCCATCACAGTGCGCTGAATCTCGCCATTTCCATTTTCTACACGCTCGCAGATGAACTGAGCTCCTTTTAATGAGGGTACCAGTTGCTTGGTGCCAATGGCGGTCTTTCTTTTTTCTTCCCCTTAAGCTTGTGTGGGGTCATGGAAAAAGTCCTGTCCTGGGCTCCTGGAGCCCTTGGTTCTGGTCCTGATGCTGCTGATAAGGCTGTGGGACGTGGGACCCGGGGCCACATCCCCTTCCCTTAGCCAAGTCCCGCCTCTCTGGGCCTCGGTGTCCTCATCTTAAAATGGGGGTGGTGGACAAGCTGACCTCTCCCCATCTCTTCTGTCTCTAATCTCCTGTGATTTTTAGCAGGTAGCAAAATGAATTGAACTGAGTCCCTGCTTCTTCCCAGAGAGAAGGAATCATGAGTTGAGTGGTCTCCTGTTAGGCTGTTCCATGTGGACCTCTACTGGTGTCTATTAGTCTGACCACTGTCACATGGTCCTCTCGTGGTGTCCCATTAGGCTGTCCTAGGTGGCCCTCTGGTGGTGCCCTGCTAGTCTGACCACTATCCTGTGGTCCTGTCTCCATAGTTTATTTGTACGGAGAAGCGGCTCAGCAGGAACAGAGGAGAACATTGCCGGCAATCCGAGCAGGAGAATACGAAGCCCTGTCCGAAAAAGTGAGTCCCCTTGAATCCTGAGCCCTGGGCCATGTGCAGCGCCGTGTGTGTGTGTGTGTGTGTGTATGGCAGGGGGAGGGGGTCATGGAGCGGAGACCCAGAGACAGTCAGTCAGTCATCAAGCATTCATTAAGTGCCTACTGTGTACCAAGCACTGGGCTACGCCCTGGGGATACAAAGAAGGCAAAGGCCAGTTCCTGCCCTCAAGGAGCTTCTAGTCTAATTGGGAGACAACAAACAAACAATTATGAACAACAAGATGTATAGAGATCACCTGGGATGATCACCGGAGGGAAGGCACTAGTGCTGCCATGGGGGTGGAAGTGGGAGATGACTCTTGCCGAAGGTGGGATTTGAACCAAGTCTTGTAGGAGGCCAGGTGTTGACTTGGCAGGGTGGAGAGGGAGAACACTCTAGGCTTGGGGGACAGCTGGTGTGAAGGCAGGGAGTCGGGGACCTGAATGTCACATGTGAGGAACAGCCAGGATCCTGGTGTTCTTAGATCACAGAGTATGGTGGACGTGGGGTGGGGGGGGAGAGGAAGGGGTAAGAAAACTGGCAACATGGGAGGGGGCCAGGTTGTGGAAGGCTTCAAAAGCTAGAGGATTTTACATGGGCTCCTGGAGGTAATTGGGAGCCACAGAAGTTTATTGAGGTGTGCACACGTATGTGTGTGTGGGTGGGATGAAGTGCTTTAGGGAGATCACTCTGAGGGCTGAGGGGAGGAGGTTTTGGAGTGGAGGGAGATGAGGCAGGCAGATGCCCCAGCAGCTTTATAATAGTCCAGGTGCTGAGGGTTCTGAGGTGCCGAGGGATGCAGACAGTGCCAGAGAAGAGAGAAGGGAGCACATTGGAGAGATGCTTCTGAGGTGAAATCAAATATGTGCAAAGGTGAAATCGACCAGAGATGTTGCAAAAGTGAAATCTATAGAGGTGCCACAAAGGTGAAATCCACAAGAGATGCTTCTGAGGTGAAATCAAAGATGTGCAAAGGTGAAATCGACCCAGAGGCCTTTCAGAGGTTAAATCAACAAGAGATGTTGCAGAGGTGAAATCTACAGAGATGGTTCAGAAGTGAAATCCACAAGAGAAGTTTCAGAGGTGAAATTGACAGACCTTGGCACCATGTTGGATATGGGGTGTGAGCGAGGGTGAGGGGCCCAGGATGACTCCTAGGCTGGGAGCCTGCAGTACTGGGAGGATGTGGGTACCCTCTACAGTAATAGGGAAGGTAAGAGGTGAGGAGAGTTTAGGGAGGAATATAATGAGTTCTGAGACAGAGAAAGAGGAGTCAGGGAGAGAGAGTCACAGGTGGCTGACAATCACAGAATTACATCATCTCAGGGTTTGAAGGAACCTCAAAGACCAGCTAGTCCACCATGCTCACCTGGCATTAGAGCCATGGACCCCTAATAAGAGCAAAGGCAGCGTCCTGAAGTTGGAACCAGGGGAACTAGACTGGAATCTCACCTATGCTGCTCACTGCCTGAGTGACCTTGGGCAAGTCCCTCGCCTCTCTGAGCCTCAGTTTCCTCATACGTAAAATGAGGGGTTTAGACTCTTTGAGCTCTAACTCCAGCTCTATTTCCCTGGGTAAATTAACTGCTTGGTCTCCTAAGCCCTATCATTGGAAAGACCAGTTCTTTTCCCATGTGCCTGGAAGAGTGCTCAGGTCATGAAAGGCATGTGGAGGGGGAGGGGAAGAAGTGGGATGAGTAGGGGCATTTGCCCATCTTCTGGTTCACAGAAGCATTTCCTAAGGTTTTATCCCCAGTGGACAAACAGGTACACAGTCACTCCCCAAAGGCAGACCTCCTACTGACCCTGGGCTCCTCAGCCCCAATGCATTTTGTCCCCACAGCTCCAGAAGGCTGAGTGGGCCCCCGATTTTGGTTCCAGCACCTTTGTGCCCAGATGGGGGGCCACAGCCACAGGGGCCCGGAAGTTCCTCATTGCATTCAATATCAACCTCATCTGTACCAAAGAGCAAGCCCATCGGATCGCCCTGAACATCCGGGAGCAAGGACGGGGGAAGGACCAGGTGAGTACATGCTGGGGGACCTCAGTGGAGCTTCTCCCCTAATAGAATCCTGCCTGAAGAGCAGTAAGATGCAAGAGGGAAGAACCTGTGGTCTTGAGGCCACATGTGGCCCTGTAGGTCCTCAGGTACGGCCCTTTGACTGAATCCAAACTTCACAGAACAAATCCTCTTAATTAAAGGCTTTATTTTGTAAAACCTGGACTCAGTCAAAAGGCCACACCCGAAGACCTAGAAGGCCACATGTCTCCGTGAGGCTGCAGGTTCCCCATCTCTGAGCAAGAGGTTACTCAGAGAGCCTGCCATAATGGCATCTGGTCTACAGCAGAGAGAATCCTGGCTGGAGAGCGGGAAGGCCCCGCCTAGTCCAGGCTCTTTTGGCAGCTAGCTCTGGGACCTTGGACAAGCCTCAGTTTTGTAAAGATTAAAATGGGGTGGGGCTGGACTAGGTGACCTTTGGGGCCCTTCCCAGCTCTCTGGCTGTATGACTAATATGGAGGACACGAGCAGACTTAACAGATTTATAAAGTCAGAGGACAAAGGGACACAGAGGAAGAGAGGAATGTGCTGTTCTGCTTCATTTTTGCCCCCCGGCCTTTCGGAGGTGGCTGTGATCCATGCTCCCTTAGCCCGGGGCAGCTCTAGGACGTGGGGCTCTGGCTACCCCGCCTTCTTCAGACTTCTTTATTATTCCCTTTTTAATATTTAAATCTGTTGAGCCCCAGAGTTTGGTACGGTCTCTGGTCTGATGCCAAAATCTACATTTTATTTACCTCCATATTTGGTCCAGTTTCCTCAACAATGTTTAGTAAATAATGAAGCCTTTCTCCAGTGTTTTGCCCACAGGAATCTTGTGCACCTTTTAATTCCATTATGTGCACTGATGCTCTCCTCCTCTGGTCTGCTCTTTGCTCTGCACATTCCACACTGGGCCTGCCCGCGCCAGAGGCCCGTCAGTTGCTTTCATAGCAATAGGTCAGGGACAATCTGTCTGATCCGATCGATCACTCTGAAAGGGAGAAGGAAGCAGATCCTGTGTTCTTCTCCCTGAGAAACAAAGTGGATGTGATCACAGTCAGACCTCCTTGAGAGCAGGGAAAAGAGTTTGTGAAACAAGTTTCCTTTTGTAGCCTGGGCGACTGAGAAAAGTTCAGGGCATAGGCTGGTACCTGGATGAGAAGAACATTGCACAGGTATCCACCAACCTTCTGGATTTTGAAATCACTGCCCTCCACACAGTGTATGAGGAGACCTGCAAAGATGCCCAGGTGAGCCCCAGGGCTGGCACGGCCGGCCTGCCCACTGCAGAGAATCCCCATGCAGTGCCAGCACAGGCCCTCTGAGGCAGCCAGTGCTTTGCTGACGTGTCTTCCTTCTGGTCTGCCAGGAGCTGAATCTGCCAATTGTGGGCTCTCAGCTGGTGGGCCTGGTCCCTCTGAAGGCCCTTCTCAATGCAGCAGAGTTTTATTGCCAGAAGGAAAGCCTTTTCATTCTGGAGGAGGAGCACAAAATTCGACTGGTAGGCCCAGCCCTGATTTGGCTAAGAGCCAGCCACGGGATCCTGGCAGGGAAGGGGCTCTGGCCACCCCCAACCCACCTTTTACAATAAGGAGGAACTGGAGGCAGAGGGAGATGAGGGTGCAGGGATGGCATCCAGGGCTAGAGCCCAGGATTCCTAGCTCCTAGGCACAGACGCCAGAATCATGGGGATGGATGTGTCCTTAGCGCACACCTAGGCCAACCCTAGGGCTCCTGGAGGCTCTCCTGAGCCCATCCCTGCTTCCACAGCAGCTCCGATGGTTACATCGAGCCTAAACGTGCCTCTTCCCACCACTCCTGGTTCTGCAGCCTTTACCGCCTCCTCCATTCCTCTGACCAGCCTCCCCTCCTAAATAGCTCCTGGCCCAGGAAGCCTCCCGGTGATCATGGAGCCGCAGGTCAGCTCCCACTGGGGTCAGAGCCATCTCGGGCCTTTCCAGCGGTCAGAAGGAACTGCTGGTCGATCGGGCAGCTTCTCATTTTGCTCTTGCCATGTGGTCTCTTGTCATTTCAGGTGGTGAACCGGCTGGGCCTGGACTCCTTGTCTCCCTTTCATCCAAAGGAGCACATTATTGAGTAGGGAGAACTCCCCCTCCCCTCTTGATAGAGCTTGGAGGGAAGAGTACTCAACTCCTTTGGCCTGTATGTCCTGTGACACAGCCAGTGGGCTCTGAGATGAGCCACCCAGAGATGGAGATGGCTGCCTTGGCCTCCCCACTCACGGCCTCTCTCTGGGTGGACCAGCCAGTGAAATGGTATCATGACTCATAGATGGAGAGCTGACAAGTGGGCCGCCTCCAGACCTCATTTTACAGAGAAGGAAACTGAGACCCAGGGAGGTTACCTGGGCAGTAGAGGTGGGCTTCCCCAGGTCCTGTGCTCTGAGGGAGCCCCTCCACGTCCCAGAGAAGAGGGCCCAGTCTCCCAGAAGCCATTGCCCACATTAGGTAGACCCTAGCCATCACTGTGCTCATTGGGAATGCCACTGGCAGCAGTACCGTCGTCCTCTCCAAGGCTGTGGCGTCAGGGTCTGTATCTGAGGTTGGAGCTGGGCACCGGGGAGGGCCACCAAAGGTCATCCACCAAAGCTTTCCACTTGAGTCTCCCTCCCTCTATGAGGCAGGGAAATGATGGACGGCTCATGCCAACAAAGACGCCATCACCTCCAGCGATCAAAGCCCAGTGGGTGGTGCTGCCCTGCCCACTTCCATGGAGTTGGCTTGGCACGGGGAGGGAGTGCAGAGCTCTTTAGAGCCAGAAAGTCCCGGGTCCCTACCTCACTTCGGACACTTAGCTGTAGGGCTTTGGGGAAGCCACTTGACTTAATCTGATCATCAGTTTTCTCATCTGTAAAATGGGGATAAGGATAGGTGGGAGATAGTACTCACCTCACAGGGTTATTCTAAGGCTCAAAGGAGGGGACAGGATAAGGAACATTGTAGACCTGAAGCAGGATACAAGTGGGGAAGAACCCTCCTTCCTTGTCCTTCTGCATTGTCTTTCCCTTCCCGTGAGGCCCTATCAGGGCCCTGGGGTGTCCAAATGTGGAGGTCAAGTCTCAGATCTTCAGCCATCCTGGCCAAGTCACCTGCGCTGGATTTGGTGATCTCTGCGAGGTTCCTTCCAGGCTGGATGTTCTGGGAGCCCAGGCCGCCCTTGGTGTTTGGATAGGGTTTTCACTCGTGAAAAGGGGGAGGGAGGGGAGGAGGAAAGGGGGCAGATCCCACAAGGAACTCCCAGTGGCCTTTGCTTCTCTAAGTGCTGCTTTCATGGCAGCCAATCAATCAATCAATGAGCATTGATTAAGCACCTGCTGTGTGCCGGGCACTGTGCCCAACTCTGGGGATACAGTCCTTCCAAGATGGATCCTGTGCCCTCACGTTTTCTCTCACCTCTTGGCCATAGGTACATGGTTGAGGATGGCGCGATGAGTGGGAGCTTGGTCTCAAAGTCACTTTCTGTTTTTGTCCGTGATGTGGGGGCCCGCTCTGCTGCTCCCGGGGGTGGCTCTGTGGCCGCAGCGGTGGCCGCCATGGTAAAGACTTCCCATCGGAATGGGCGTGGGTTGGGGCTGCCTTTCTGCCTCTCACATGCTGACAGCTTCCAGGTGTGGGGATAGCAGTTGCATTAACCTTCTGGTTCAATCCAATTCAGCAAACACTTATTAAGCACCTGCTGTGTGCAGAACCTTGGAGTGATTCGCAGAGAAAATTAAGAAGTTTGGATGAGATAAGGTCCCTGCCTTCATGGGGCTTATGGTCTCCTCTTAGCAAGGCCTTACCTGATCCTAGGGAGGCTAATCCATACCCTTGTGACCCACAAGGACTCGGAGCCCGTATAACCAATTGGGTCGTCTCCCTCTGGCTAATCTTTGAGTGACATTTGTCTTGGGGCTAGTGGACTGTTGGAAAATCAGCCATTTTCTTCAAGTAAGTACAATACAAAAGCAAAGTTTGGGGACCAACCCTAAAATTACATCGGTATAGGAAACCTCCTGGGAAAGGAAGCTCATCCCCGGATGGGCAGCCTGCCAGGGAGATGGGGCATGGTAGATAGCGAGCAGGCCTCAGAGCAAGAAAGACCTGGGTTTGAGTCTTTCCTCTGCCTCTGCTTCTGGGCAAACCTCCTCTCAGGCTCTAGGACTGAGACTCTAAGTAGCAAAGGGGGTGCTGATCTATATGGGTAGAGGGATTTCCTCACCAGGGAGCTCCTTAGACCAATGAGAGAAAAAGATTTGGAGGGTATTTCTTTAAACAAATTGACTGATTTTCCAGCAGTCAACTAGCCTGAAGCTGAGCAGCCAGAGGAAGCCCGCCAAGTGAGACCCCAAATTAATCTCCTTTCCATGAGGCTTTGGAGGCTGCGCCTTGGCATCCTATCTGTGCTCTTCCCAAACCTACGCTGGGTGGTTTCTTTAGGACTGAGAGACCCCTATCAGAGTGCACCGACCCCAGCCTCTGACTGCTATTTGCCCTTCCCTGCCTCTACTATTTAAGCCCAAAAGAGTGCAAGGGTGACTCGCTAACTGAAAAAAAGAAAGAAAAGAGAAAGAAGCCGCTGGCTAAAGGCCCTGTCTCTTCTCAGGGGGCGGCGCTGGGCTCTATGGTGGGGCTGATGACCTACGGAAGGCGGCGGTTTGAGCACCTGGACCCAGTCATGAGGAGACTCATTCCCCCTTTGCATCAAGCGATGAAAGAGCTGCTAGCAATGGTGGACTTGGACTCAGAGGCCTTCAGCGGCTATATGGTGAGTGACAGGCCTCCTGGGAAGGTGGCGGGCAGCGGGCGCGTGGATGGGAAGCCAGAGGTCCTCAGGGACAGCTGGAAAGGGCATTGGGCCGGAGGGTGCAGGAGAAGCCCGGCATCCCAGAGTGAGAGCTGCAGGGCCTAGGCAGGCAGAATGACTTTCCCCAGCTCATGCGGGTGGTGGCCAATCAGAGACGAGGCTCTGGGACTGAGGCCCAGTGGGTGAAGTGACCTGCCCAAGGCTATCCGGGCCGAGCCAGAATGGGACCCCTGCTTCGGGGCTCCCCGAATTTCCATTGTTCTTTGCACTCTTCCAGGCGGTTTCACCTGCCTCAGAATGGCCCAGCCTTACTGACCATTGCTGCTTGAGCGGCTTGGGGGTAGGACTGGAGCTCAATAATGACTAGATGGGCTGGCATCTGGATCTCTTTTCTCAGTCTAGCCATCTGGTCCAGTTGTCTTTGCACGAGCCTAATCCGGTGAGCCGTCTGGAGTCGTTCCTTTTCCCATCAGTAAAATGGTCGCCATCCTCTTTAGATTACCAAGACCGAGGGAAATGGCAATTCCAAGAGTCCCCTTGGACCAGGGCCCTTGGATCATTCTCCATCAGCCCATCAGGGGCTGAGTCCCATCACACAGACAGTTGGCTGGTTGTGTGAGCCTCGGGGGTGTTCCGAAGGTGGTAACAACACCGGGTGTGATTGTTTCTGCCCTGCCCCCCTAGAATATTCTCTTCTGATAGAATGCATGCACTGTCTTAGAGGGTAGGTCTCTCCTCTAGTCTCTGTATTCCTGCACCTAGCAGAGGGCTTGGCACACAGTAGGTGTGTCACCAGATGCCAGCTGATAGATCAGCCACTTTCGTTGGGTTTGTCTCTTTTCAGGAAGCGATGAAGATGTCCAAAAACACACCTGAAGAGAAGGAAAGGTGTGTGTAGCATTCTCCCTCTGGGCAGACGGTGGAATTCAACTTCCCTGCAATGTAACCGTGGGCCACTAGAGGGTGATGCTGACAACGGGGAAAGGGGTTCCTTCAAAATTGGGTGTAAATTCCATTTATGTGAACTGAGCCAGATTTCAGATGTACTAGGAGAGCTGGTTATTTAAAATCATCCTATTTTAAAGGTGAAGAACCCTTTCTAAAGCAGGCAAAGTCCCCTACTTAATCTTTTTTCTGTTTGTGGAGTTTTGTGAGAGCAGGTTCTGGGTGACCAGACATCTGCCCGTGTTCTCTCAGGCAGGGACTGAGAGCCAGGCGGCTTCTTCTTTCCCTCCAGGCGCACGGCTGCCATGCAGGAAGGGCTGAAAAAGGCCATCGGGGTCCCCTTTGGCCTGGCACAGAAAGTGGATACCCTGTGGCCAACCTTGAAGGAGATGGCGCTTTACGGGAACCTCACGTGCAAATCGGACCTGCAGGTACGGGACCCAGGAGCAGTGTCCACTCCTCCCGTCCAGTGATGTGGCAAAGGCGAGGCCCTGCTCTAGCCTAGTGGCCCCTACACAGCTTCCTGGGCTGTGGCCCTGGCCTTCAGCCCCGTTCTCCCAGCCATTTTGGAGTGGCTCCCCCACAAACCCACATATGGATGAGTGGAAGTCAATGTCTTCAGGGGTTTGTGGTGGAAGGAATGAATGAAAACAGAATGAATTCCCTTGGCATGGTGCGATCGCCTTATTGGTCATACTATTATAGATCGAGAATCGGACAGGACCTGGGGAATCATCTAACCCCTTTGTTGTGCAGATGAAGACAGTGAGGCCTGTGTTGGGCAACCCTGCCTCCTCCCGTCAGGTCACAGCCCACTGCTGAAGTCCATAGGTATGGCTGTTTAAAGTGGCCACCCTTGGCCAATGTAGATCAGAGCCCACAATTTTCATCCTGAAAATGTGACCTGAATCCTGGACCAAAAGCCCTCCTTTGACAACTCCTCATGGCATGGAGACAACCCTGGGTCCTCAGAGCTTGGGCCTACCAAAAGCTCACTGAAGAAAATAATTCCTTAAAAATTAGAATTGGGCAAGTGGAAGCTAATGTCCCTATTCGACATCAAGAATCAACCAAGCAAAAGCAAAAGAGTGAAAAAATAGAAAAAATGTAAAATACCTCATTGGAAAACAGCTGACCTGGAAAATAGATGCAAGAGAGACAATTGAAGAATTTTTTGACTACCTGAAAGCCAGGATCAAAAAAAGAGTCCGGACAGCATTTTTCAAGAAAGCGTGTGTGTGTGTGTGTGTGTGTGTGTGTGTGTGAGAGAGAGAGACAGAGAGACAGAGACAGAGAGACAGAAAAAGAGACAGACAGACACACAGAGACAGAGACACACAGAGACAGAGAGACACACAGAGAGAGACAGAGACACAAAGACACAGGGAGAGACAGAGACAGAGACACACGGGAGGAGGGGGAGAGAGAGACGGAGAGAGAGAGACAGAGAGACAGAGACACATAGGGGGAGGGAGAGAGAGACACAGAGAGAGACAGAGAGAGAAGAGAGAGAGACAGAGACAGACAGATAGACAAACACACACACACACAGAGAAAGAGAGAAAATGCTTTCATGTGCTCTGGAGGTTTGTGGATGACATTCTTCTGATTGTACCAATGCTTAGAACATTGTAGACCCTTAAATGAAATATAAAATCAAACAAGAATTCAGCCTGGTTATCCATACAGGAGAAGCCAAGTGGATGAAGAATGACTGTTGTGCAGACTACAGGTTATGACGTATCCCACCAGGGGACACAGGGTGGTTAGGCTTCAGTGGTTCAAGGTTCCCTTATCTGGTGCTATGCACACTCCATCCAGGGAAGCAGACCCCTGCCCCCACCCCAATCACTCAGGAGACAGTTTTTAGGAGTCGTGTGGCTACGGTAGTCCTCCTTGAATGCAGCCGGGTGCTGAGCTCCTCTGAACCCAGCTTGGGCCTCAGCAGCAGACACACAGCCCGTCCCTGGTCCATACCTACCTGAAGGCCTTCTGGCTTGGCAGGATCTACCGGAGCTGACAGTTTGGCCGTGGCATGTCCCTGAGACCCAGGCCTATCTCCACAGCAGGAAGCATCAGAGGGGCCTCTCTGGGGCCGCTGCCAGGTGGGGAAATCTGTGAATCCTGCTCTCTCCTGATGCCAAAGACTTCAGAAAGGACAAGAGGCCAGGGCCTCCTACGGGGAACCCCCGAGCACGCAGGAAGTGCTCATCCTGTGACACCTTCAGGGATTGTACCAGAAAGCAAAAGTCAAGCCAGGAAGTTTCCACAAAAGTTAGTGGAGAGGTTTCCAGGGTAGCAAAAGTCAGTATTAGCCGGGCTTCCTTCCGGTGCGCTGTGTGTGTGTGTGTGTGTGTGTGTGTGTGTGTGTGTGTGTGTGTGTCTGTGTGTGTGTGTGTGTGTCTGTGTGTCTGTGTGTGTATTTCAGTGTGCTCAGAGCCTCACGCTTGTCCAGACCAGACAGCTGAGGAGCTGAGGACCGGGGCTTAGGAGTCCTGAGGCCTGGGTCTGGCCTCTGACGTCTTTAGAGGTCTGGGTAAAAAAGACAAGAAGGGGGCCCTGAGTCCCTGGAGACTTTAGGGCTTGAGTGAAGAGGCAGGGGAGGCCTCCCTGGGAAGATAGGCAGCACAGGGCTGCCTGTGGAGGCAAGGAGCTGGGCTGAGGTGTGCAGCCACACCTCAGGGACAAGCATCCTTGGGAGAAGCAGGTTAAAGCCATAAGAGACAAAGAGAGACCGCCACCAAATGTGCCCGAATGCCGGGACCCTGCTGGAGGGGAGCGCAGAGGCCATCTGGTCCAACCTCCTGGATTTACAGATGAGAAGAGACTGGCCCAGTCATGTAGCCAACCAGTCAGGAGCAGGGTCAGAACTGGACGTCAGGTCTGAACAGAGAAGGCTGGGGAGCCAGCCCCTGTCTGAGGAGGGTGGGCTGGTCCCAGGATGTGTGACAAACTTTGCTCTGCTTTGGGCTTGTTACAGGTGGCCGCCAAAGCTTTAGAAACAGGCGTTTTTGGGGCCTATTTCAATGTTCTCATCAATCTAAAGGAAATAAGTGATGAACACTTTCGGAGACAGGTGAGAAGTGGGAGGCGGGATGGGGTGGGGTGCCCAGGTAAGCCTCACTGAGCCATAGTCTCATTGGGTAGACCCCATGGGTCCTCCACCTAAGTTGATTAGGCTAAGACATGCAAAGAAGGGGAATGTGGAAATGGAGGAGGGGCAGAAGCATAAGGAGAAATGTGATGGTCCTTACTCTCCAGATGGGGAAACTAAGGGCAATCCTTGTGTCCAAGGATTTCCGGGGTCCAGAGCCACTCTGAGGGCGTCTTTCCCTCCCCTGGCTCACAGCCCCCAGTCGGGAAACCCAGGGTAATGCAGGCCCCTCCTGGGACGCTGTGACTCACTCCTCACTCCATGGATCTCTGAGCTGGAAGAGGGCTCAAAGACATCCCGCCTGAACCACACCCCTCCCACAGAGAGGATGCTTGGCTTTGGTCTGGGGCTCCCTGCTGTCTCTCGTGGAGGAAGCACTTAATGAATGAGTGCTTGCTGGTTGATTGATGACTGCTTCCGCCACACCCCCTCCAAGAGTCCTTGTTGTACCATTGGTAACAAGGGGTCAGCCAGCCTTTGGTGGAAGACCCCCAGTGAGGGGGAGCCTGCTTCCTTCCCCTGCAGCAGCCCATTCCATGGATGAAGCACCGCCATGATAGGAAGGGTCAGGGAGCCATGGCCCCCCTACATCCCCTGGGGCCAAGCAGAATGAGGGAATCCCTCCTCCCAACACAGCGCTCATGGGTTGCTCCCTGCAAGCTCCCCAGTTTTCTCCCTACTCCCACTGAACTCATCTCATCAGTCTTGACATCCTAGTGTGGAGACACATAGAGTCACCATAGCACAGAAGGTTTCACCAAAAGGAGCCGTTGGCCCCCAGAGTCCCGACAGCCAGGAGCTTGAGGCCTTCCCCTGCCCCAGGGCAGCGCCCGGCCTCCATCCTCTGGTCTCCACCCGCCTCCCCAGCTTGTCTCCCCCGTGCCAGCTAGCTGGGCGCTCTCCGCTCCAACCAAACTGGCCGCCGGCTGCTTCCCAGAATTCCGCGTCCCCTTTCCTGCCCTGATGCCTTAGCCTAGGCTGGCCCCTATGCCATGGATAGCTTCATGCCTTTTAATCTCTTTAATGTGTGGCCTTCCCCATTAGAGTGGAAGCTTCCTGAGGCACAGACTGTCTCCTTTAGCTTGTTTTTGGTTCGTTCCTGGGCCTTCTCCTCCTCTCTACTTCTCCAAATGCAACCCTCTTTCAAGACCCTGCTTAAATTTCTATCTCTTTGGTAAAGTCTTCCCCGCCCATCCCAATCAGCCACAAATTTTTTGTCCTGGAAACTCATTTATTTTCAATTAATTCAACGTATTTCCTGAGTGCCAACATTGTCAAATAATCAAATAGTGAACCAAAAGTGCCTATTCAGCACTTCCATCATGCCTAACTCTGGAGCAGGCTGGGCGCTGACAAGGGTCAGTGAGGCATCTCAGGGGAAGCCCCTGCCCTCTCCCAGCAGAGACAAGCAGAGAGGGGGCCGGCATTCCAGTCTGCATAAGTCCATGGGAAGCGCTTCCCTTGTGGTCTCACCTCTGGTTTGCTCTATCGATGCCATCACTGAGCAGTAGAGCCTGCCATAACTTGTGATGGAGCCCCCATAATGTCCCAGCTTTGGATAGCACCAAAAAAAAGCCCGGAAGTGGAAAGATGGCGGCAAGTCATACCAATGATGAGGCCTGACTTTTCTCTAACACCTTTGTCTGCAAAATGCTTTACAAACACACTCCTCCTTGAGCCCCACAACCACCCAGTGAGTTAGGCACCTTATGGATTATTGTCCCTGCTTTAACAGATAAGAAACTTGAGGCTCAGAAAGTTCGAGTGATTTTCCCATTGTTTCAGAACCACTCAGTGGTGGGATTGAAACCTTGGTCTTTCTGGCTTCAAGTCCAGCATTCAGTGCCTGCTCTGAGGCCCTTCCAAGAAGAATCCCATCCATCCATCCATCCATCTGCCCATCCACCCATCCATCTAATAAGGCTTACCTACAAAACCAGGGGTAGACTAGGTGAACTCTAAGATCATGGGATCCTCTTGGGGTAGATGGGACCTCAGAAGTTAAGTGCAGTCCCCTCATTTTACAGATGAGGAAGCTGATGTCCAGGGAAAGGAAATTACTTTTCCCCTGGTCTTAGACTAAAGAGCCACAAGACGTAAGATTCGAACCCTAAACTCCCACTCCAAATGCTTTCCACAAACCAGAAGATCAGAGGTTTAGAGTTGGAAGGACTTTAGAGGTCACTGAGTGCCCCTCCTTCCTTTAGAGATAAGGTAACTGAGGCCCAGAGAAGTTAAGCAAGCTTCCCAAGGTCACACAGGATGTAAATGGCAGAGCTGGATCCAGTCCAGTGGCCTGCTCTGATGCCCTGGTGGCTCTCTTCTTTTCCTCATGTTCTGTGAGTGCTGAGGTTTCTTTTTTTTTTTAAATTTCTGTTTAAAGGAAATGTTTTTAGCTTGTTTCTGAAAATGATACATCCCTTAATTTATCCTATCCAGATGCATGAAAAAATTTCTCACCTCCTGGAGGAAGCTCAGAGCAATGCTGCCTCTGTGCTGGAGTCCCTGGCAGCCCGAACAGAGTGAAGAGCCTGGCACAATCTGGGGAGAGCATGCCAACCTGCCCCATTGTTCCACCTACCCACCCACCCACCCACCTACCCATCCATCCATCCATCCATCCATCCATCCATCCACCCACCCACCCATCCATCCACCAATCCATCTATCCATCTAAGCATCCATCCATCCATCCATCCATCTGTCCATCTGTCCATCCATCCATCCATCCACCCATCCACTTACCCATCCATCCATCCATCCAGCCACCCATCCATCCATCCATCCATCTGTCCGTCCATCCATTCACCCATCCACCCATCCATCCATCCATCCA